CCCCATTTTTCTAAACTAAAATATGGTCACATAAAAGACAACATCATCATCATCATTGAAAAAATAGTGCTCCAATTTGGGCCCCATTTTTCACGGACTTGTAACGATTTAATTGGGGGGCCCCAAATATTATTTTTAAAATAATTATAATTTCTACCGTTCTCATAAACAGCAACAAGAAGAGCAAGTTGTGTGTGAACTTGCTTAATCCTGCTTATCACACGGAAGCCGCATTTCCTGCGACGATAACGAAACGCAGCTGGCTGGCCTGGTAGTTGTTATTCATTTTCAAATTTTAGTTAGATTTTAACGTCCCTAGGTGACACAAAGTTTTTCTTCAGTGCTCATCCAGATTTAATTTTTCAACGAAAACTTAATTCAAAATTGGGCGTTACCTCAGTTATAATTGATTGTGTGTATTTAGTGCTAAAAACTATGTAAGTAATTTTTTTCATTATTCTTAAAGACCCTGATAATAATACGTTGTTCTATTTTTAGTTTAATAATAGAATCATGGATTTACCCCAAATTAACCAAGCAGCCTGTCTTGAGGAAAAGTCCTACTTAAAGCTACAAGTTTTGACTCCAGAGCATCCCTATCCAATTCGGGGTATGACTATAGTGAATTCAAAATTTGGAGAAGTAGCCCGAGTAGAAATGGATAAAAACATTACCTTTCGTCCTCAACGTGCAACCGATTCAATTAAACAAAACATTCAGCACTTCGAGGCTGGGAAATTTGGATTGAAATTTAAAGGCATGCGAGATATTAAAGGCCTGAATCCAACACCAATTTTCAAAGTTGTTGAATTGTAAGTATACCATATAAATTATTAAATTAATACTAAAAACATTTTCAATTTTTAGAGTTAACGGCATCGAGAAAACGTCAAAACGCATCAACAAGATCAAGACATAATGATTCAGGAGGAATTTATTATTTTTTTTGTTGTAGAAATATTGATAATAAAAAACACTTTATATTTCTACATAGGTAGTTGTTTTATTTATGGGATATTTATTGTGGTTTTGGTATAGGAGAAAAAGAAATAGGCCAGAATAATTTTTTTATTTCAATTTTTTATTTAAGAAAAATATCATACAGGTTATATTTATGTTCTAGAATTAAATCAAGATGATTTTCATTCCAATAAATTTTTCCCATTGTTCGCATATCCACCATAGTCAGACCTTTACTTTCTTCCTCATTCCAATAGCTAACATAAATGAATTCTCCAATGTAGAAATTTACATCATACCAACCATCATTTACATTATCGAGAAACTGTAAAAATTCCTCAAATTCACACTTTATATTTCTACATAGGTAGTTGTTTTATTTATGGGATATTTATTGTGGTTTTGGTATAGGAGAAAAAGAAATAGGCCAGAATAATTTTTTTATTTCAATTTTTTATTTAAGAAAAATATCATACAGGTTATATTTATGTTCTAGAATTAAATCAAGATGATTTTCATTCCAATAAATTTTTCCCATTGTTCGCATATCCACCATAGTCAGACCTTTACTTTCTTCCTCATTCCAATAGCTAACATAAATGAATTCTCCAATGTAGAAATTTACATCATACCAACCATCATTTACATTATCGAGAAACTGTAAAAATTCCTCAAATTCATTGAAGGTGAATGGTATAGAAGTTTCGTTCTTGTGGTGTAAGACAATGTCCGTTTTCTCAGGATTATAAATAATTTGCACAATGTCTCCAATATTATATTCTTGATACACTGGTTTTGGAACAATTTTCCAATTTGCATGTTGCTGGTCCATTTGCAAATCTGGAAGTTGATGAAAATACTCCATCCCATTTCGGATCCATTTTTAAATTCTCAAAATTGGGGTTCGCCTAGGTCAATCCTTCGAAACTTCAAATTAAAGGCGCCGCCGATCTAGAGATTTTCCCACAGTATCAAAAAAGTTCCCAGGCTTCCCGTAAAATTAATTTATTGAACCATCAAGAACATTGACTTTTTCCTATGAGCATAAACTAAATAAATACAAGTAGTGTGATTCCAGTTGATTCCCGTTCTAGTCTTCATCTTTAGTTTCCTTTTCCCTTTTTATTCGCCACTGCTGCTGGTAAAACAGGATGCTTCTCGTTAATCATTTTGATCACCTGACCTTTCGTGATTAAATCGTTATCGTTTATAGCTTTGGAAGCTCTGACTATTCTCTTGTCACCAATACTTATATATGAAGGTGTTATATTAAATAACTTATGTTGTTCTTCCAAGGCAGCTATTCTTGGAGCCAATTTGTTTTTGATATCAGTGCTAATCGATTGGTTCATAGTGGCTAAACTTTCAATTTTCTTTTGACTTTCTTTCATTGAAGAATTCACTGTTTTAAAATCATTTTCAAACGAGTGGCTCTTATTTGTCAAAGTTTCAATTTTCTTTTGATTATCTTTGATTAAAGATTCTATCTGCTTATACTTTCCAGATAATTCTTGTGAGGGTGACTCAGTGACTTTTTTCTGGTTTTCAGAATCTGTTTTAAATTTTTCCAAAAATTCTCTCAATGATTTATCCATATAGGATTTCGTTGCATAATCTTGTGATTGGTTTTCCAAACGTCGTTTCAACACCAAATTTTTATACTCGTTAACAGTTTTTAAGCGCTGTGAACGACCAAACTTATCGACAGACATGATGATACTAAATTGAATGTCTACTGCTACAAACTCTTATTCTCTCTATCTCTGACTCTCTCTTTCTCTCTCTCTCTCTTGTAGTTTATCCTGAAAACTAAAATGGAAATAAAATAACGAATGTTTTTAAAGAATTTATTGCATAAAAATTATTTTTCACAAGTTCACATCCTTATTATTACATCACTAGATATCTAAAACACATAATTTCTTGAAATCCATAACTATTTTTTCCGGGTTGAGGTATACGAATTCTAACATAAAATAGGATAATTCACATATATATAAATTACAATATTCTTTTATGACACTTAAAAAATTATTTTCGTTAACAGTGGTTACATTATAATATTTTAAACTATTATCATAAAAAGTTCTAAAATCTAGTTCTATAAGTAAACTTAACCTATAATCTATTATTTCTCGGATATATGAAATGGATTCTATATCGTCTATACAAAAACATAAATCAACTTCTCCGCTTGTTAACTTGATAATTCTCTCTCCAAAACACATAACTGTAGAAACAATGATGGTATCCGATAATGAAACAGTTGTTATGACATCACTACCATCTCCAGAAAGTTCCATGAAGGATGTAACAATATCCAGAAATTTGGACCATTCTATATAGCTAAACGAAACAGACACTTGTTCTTCAGGTAGATTTAGAATTGTACTTGGTCACAAGTACCTCTAGGCTAGGAATTAGTCCTCGAGCAATACTTATTCCAGAAATTATTTTGAAATTCTTGGTTGAATAACAAGTCTCCCCCAAAAATGTTGATTTTTTCATGATTTCTTGTTTACTCATCAAAAACATACTATTGACATACTTCCAATTAGGTGAGGAACAGGTTGAGCAGCTCTCATCTTCACTATCCATACAATCAATATCTGCTGGTGTTGTCATGTTAAATTACCGTACAATACTTATTTTTATGATTATGACTTAAGTTATGTGAATGAGAAGGACTACTTTCTTTGCAAACTTGATACTTCACACTCAGTATTACAAATGAGTTGCAAATCGTTTAAATCCGCTTTTAAACTAGATCTTTATCCCTGTCAACCCAGCTATTATGAGATTTTTCAAATCCCAACCATTTTACATACATTTTATTTCCTTTCTTTCGTAATACTTGTTCTATAAGAAACACATCAGGTTGTTTTGTTTTCTGTAGTTCTTCTTCATAAAAACCACCACTTATAGGCCGACCTTGCAAGTCCTCTAACAAATATGTTGTTGGATTTGTAATTCTCACTTTAGCTATGTGGAACAATTCCGTAGTCCAGTTTGGGGTATATCCTTTCTGAAAAACATGCTTGAACTTGCTTATGCGAACTACGTCACCGACCTTGAATTTCTGTTTTCCAGCTACCTTAATATGACTATAAACAGTATTAAGTAGTGTTTTTTCATTATTTTTAGTAACTTTGCTTGGTTTCATTTTAATCGTGCTATGTTTGCGGCCATTATATGCATCGGTAACAGGCTTCAATAAATCGATCCATTTATGGTTTCCGTTTAATGTAAATTGCTTAAACAACTTTTCTTTAATGGTTCGAATTACTCGCTCTGCAATAGATGCTTTAAGAGGACTAAACGAACTATAATGATGTATTCCATGTTTCTTCATTAGACTCGAAAATTGAATATTATAGTATTCCTTTCCATTATCCGAAATAAGTTTCTTGGGTATTCTTCTGGAAATTTTCAAAATGCTGTCCATAGCTTTAGCGACATCTTGCGCTGATTTCGATTTTACAGCTCTAGTCCACAGAAATTTAGAAAAACAATCGATAACAACCAATATGTACTTGAATCCCTTGTTTTCTCGAGCATACTGATCAAGCTGAGCCAAGTCGGTGGCAAAAGTATCATCCAGACCATACTGTATAAATCTTCTACGATTAAACTTTTTACGTGCTGGCTTATGTAGTTCTTCAACCACCCGTTCCCTAGCCTTTGTAATAGTTTTCATTTTTTTTTTCGTTGTGACTCACAGTACATAAATGTTAAGAGATCTAAACTTGAAAGTGGCTAACCCTATAATGATTCAAGATAACACATGTAGAACTATTTATTAAACTCAATCACACCCAATTCAGCCAGTTCCTCTAAAATACTCATAATCTCATTTATATTATTGGTATTTCCAGCTTTTTGTGATGCATCCAATTTAACAAGTCTATCAATTAATTCGTTGACGTCATCGTAATAAACATATTGTTTTCGTTTCTCATTATATTCTAATAATAAAGCACTTCCGGATTTATTTTGAGATCTTGTAGATGGATTTCGGCCAGATGGCGAGGCACTGTTACTTGATTTAAGCCTTTTTGCTTCAGATGATGTTGAGACCAAAGGTTTAACAAATTGTTTATATTTTGAAGATGTGGACCCTTTAACCTGTTTGGATGGATCAAAATCTCTTCGATGAACATTGGTCCTGTTTAGAATATCCGTAAACTGCAACTTATCATCCTCCGTCTGATAGATCGGCTTTTTCAGAAATAAAAGATCATATAAGCCCTGCGTTCCTTTATAAGATACACCCCCGACTTTAATATCTCCATTCGGGAGAAAGTTGTCTTTTTGTGATCCCATAGACCAATCATCGGTTTTCATATCATGTTTCAAGCCATAAGAATGGTCTATTTCATCTGATTGTTTATAGTATCTATCTACATACTCTTGTGCTACTTTGGGATACTGATCTAAAAATTCTTCATACGCTCCTGATCTATCGTGAATTGATTTCTGCAGATCTTCTTTCAAATGTTGTAAGGGTTCATAAAAGACATCCTCAGCGCCATCATCATCATCATCATCATCACTTTTTAAATTCTCACTCGTTTGAGCAATAATCTCTGCTGGTTGGAACTCTACATTTCTAGGAAGTTACGGTTCAGATTCAAAACACGTTTTAGGAGCTTCGAGCTTAACTTTTTCATGTTTAACTTGGACTTTTCTGCCAACCGTTTTCTCAACAAACTCTCTTAGAGGTTCAGTTATAGGGTTTATTATCCTATCAAGTGCCTCATCTTCCTCTTTTCTCTCCAGCTTTAAAGCCAAATACTTTTTTCTTATAGATCTAGCAGCGTTCAGTATTTTCTTCTTGATATTCCTATCATTTTCGCTTGGAACCGAAGCCATGATTTCCAACCAGATTGACTGTTTTACACTGTCTTTTATACTGCTACACAGATCAGGAGACAGGTCTGTATACAGCTATATACAGGTCCGTATACCGCTATACAGGTCTAGAGACAGCTTTACAGGTCAGCAGACAGTTTTTTAGACAGCTATACAGGTCCGGAGACAGCTTTTTAGACAGCTATACTGGTCTAGAGACAGCTTTACAGGTCAGCAGACAGCTTTTTAGACAGCTATACAGGTCCGGAGACAGCTTTTTAGACAGCTATACAGGCCTAGAGACAGCTTTACAGATCAGCAGACAGCTTTTTAGATAGCTATAAAGGTCCGGAGACAGCTTTTTAGACAGCTATACAGGTCAGAAGACAGCTTTTTAGGCAGCTATGCAGGTCTAGAGACAGCTTTTAGACAGCTATGCAGGGTCGGAGACAGCTTTTAGACAGCTGCACTGGTTCACAGACAGCTATGGTACAGCTATTGCAGAGGTCTGTACACAGCGACGTCTTAAGGGGATTGAATGCGCCTCGATGCCAAAATATTTTTTCCTGCGCGAAGCACCTAACGCAGTCTATCATTGTATTCTTCCCCCCCTGTTGAAGTACAAATTTCAGGTTACCTGCACGAGATACGTGGTATCAAATTTCAGGTTATGAGTTCTAGGTTATATTGGTTCCATATACGGATAATGGGGCCGCGGGTCTAGCAGCGGAGACAAGTGGCCACTTTCCGATTTCTTCCCTAGATTTAGGGACATTTTATTGGTAACGTCGCACATTATTAGTTTCGACAACGTTGCACGTACCTGTCATCTCATATGAGGTATCTCATTTCAGGTTATGAGTCCATGTAAATGGGGCCCCGAAAAATAGGGCCACGGGTCTAGCAGCGGGGACACGTATGTGGCCCCTTTGCTGACGTCACTCGGGTTAGGCCTCTTCAAATTGGGGCTTGCTACTTGGGTTAGGCCTCTTCAAATTGGGGCCCACGAAAAAAATGGGGCCCCGAAATATGGCACAGGCCCACCTGGGTTAGGCCCCTTCAATTTGGGGCTTCTCTGATGACGGGCGCGGGCCCCAGAACGAGTGTGACGTCAATTTCGCTCTAGAACCCCCCTAGTTTATCTACTGAAGATGACTTCGCTGCTGCATCTGTAACGGATTCAAGGGCTCCAGAAGCAACAGACGCATCATCAACATCTGCGTTGGTCACTAGCACTTCATCAACTTCATTACAGCAGGATGTCATATCTCCAGGTATAATATGGCCCTATCTCAAAGCAGAGAAAAAGAAACCAATTTTAAGAGGAAGACGTCCTGGAAAATCACGAATTCTAACAGAGACGCCAGAAAAAGATAGACTAGAAGAATAAAAATAGCCAAGGAGAAGAAGAAGCAAGTTAAACATAAGTTTAAAATGAAGAGCACCAAGCGAATGATTCGGAGGATTCCGGGGATAAAGTGTGCTAGGCTGATGATGAATCTGACTGTTTAAGTGAAATGGACCGTGAAAATTCCGACCAAGAATTCATGCAAGATGTTGACGCTATCATAGATCCTGAATCTGGGATGCCAAATATCAAAATCGGTGACTTTTTGCTGGTCAAATATTGCACGAAAAAAACCCAAAAATATTATATTGTAGAAGTAGGAGAAATAGTCGACGGAAAATATTTAACTAATTTGCTCAGGAAGAAAGGAACTGGATCTTCCTTTCCCCAAGTCACTGATAAAGAACGTCTGAAACCACTGTAAGAAGTTCAATAAAGCGGTTTCAAGTAGACTTCCGTGCTCATAATGTCAACTAAATGAAATGAAAATGTTGTGTTTAATGTCTTTTTTACTGTTCATAAGTCTTATGTTAGATCGTACCACCTTTATTCACCAAATGAATATGACTAAAACTTTCTGAATAAAGCAATTTGTTTTTGTCCACATTTGCCCCTACACTGTCCAAATCTACCCCAGCCAAGGGGCACATTGGGACAATTTTGGATACTTGGGAAAATATCAAAATCTGATCCATCTATTAGTGGATAAGCGCTAAGCCTATGGTAATAGTACACTTATCAATGTCAACACCATAACAATATGATCAATATATTGAAAGCCAAGCAAGACACAGCTAATTATATTTGTAGTGTCCCAATGTCCCCCCCTCCCTCCTACTTGTGATTTAGTTTTGTGACTAGGTCAGGTTGATTGTAGTTAAGCGTTAAGCGAGGCGTTAAGCCAGTGTTGTAATAGTACTACATAGTTTGGTCTTGATTTTCGTGTCATTTTCTTGAAAGATAAATTATTGATTTTGGAAAAGTAGTCTCACTTATCTGAAAGCCCGCTTATGTAACAGAGTGGTAACTATTAAGTTAGTTCATGGGTTGATTTCACCGAAATCGAACTTTGGTAAAGAACTTCGAACCGAATTTAATTATTCAGGAACGTCTTATCAACGTTGATGACCATTCCCAAGCTAACTCAGTTACATTAGGTCATCGGGCGACGACGCTTTCATTAATTTACTTTAAGAAGGACTGTGACAAGCATAATATGCTCGTTCCAATGACGTAAATCAGTGCTGAATTTTGCACCGAGTATAGTTCTCGAGTGCACTCGGAATACTTTTGTCAATTAGTGTTCGAACCACTATTCGAGCACGAAAGTGGTTTAGTTGGTTCCGAAAGGGATTTCTTTTCGACAAAGCAGTACATCAAAAGTCATTCACACAATAATTTCAATTATTGGATTTTGGCGCTCTTAGCGTGGAAATGTAATTTTTTTAACAATAAGAGATTATTTAAGGGAAAAGCTGAACAGTATCGTCCCTTTTCAGCTGCCAGAACTTGAAGAGAAGTGACCTGATTGGGTGATTAAAGCCACAAAAATTAAAGTAAAATTTTAAATTTCTCATTGAGAATTCACAACAGATGCTGGATTAAGTAAATAAGTTTTATTTGGAACCAGAAATGGGATATTGATGGTGGGTACAATCATCCGCAAAAGCCGGATCAAAAGGCTTTCAACTACTTTTAAAATACCTTTCACATCAGGTTTTTTAATACCTTTCACATCAGATTTTTCACTACTTTTCATCAGATTTTACTACCTTGAATCGACGAGCTTGAGCTTCTAAAAGGTATCTACTTGTTGCTAAGAATCAAGAAGCCTTGGTCCCTTTCTTTGAAAGCAGTCCTTTTGACGACGAGTCTATGTTTGTTTTGGCTGGTGGCCGACTTCGTCAACCAATATCAGTGGCGGCTTTAAGAAATTTGTGAGGAGTTTTCGTGGACACCAAGTTTGCTATGTGGCGCTTTAGAAGTTCCTGACGAGTTATTATGAGGGAAACTTCGCGGATGTTCCATATGCAAACCCTTACGATTCAGGCCAGGACCTTCAAAATTTACTGCACAAGATAAGTTACTTTTCTTAATTACATCTTGAACTTCTAACTCCTCGTGACTGATTCCCTGATGAAACCAACATCCTTTTATTATCGAGCATTTTTGTACTATAACTATATCTAAGTTATGTAATTTTATAACTATAACTGTCTTTTTGGTAGTTTGGTATAATCATATAGTCCAATAGTAGTTTGGCAGTAATTATTGTATTTTCATTATTTTTTTTTTTTTTAAAGTTCACTGACTGACTTATTAACTGTCGTTTCTCAAAGTTATGTTCAGGTTACGTCAGTGAATATTTTCTTAAATCTTACATAACAACCTCATTGTATGTAAGAATTTAACTTGTATCGAAGACTTTTGTTAGATTTAGGTGACGCAGATTCACTGTAAAATCTAATTTGCTCATTCTTCTTACATATCAACTTAATTGAGTGTCAGAATTTAAACTTTGTATTTTACGTCTTATGTACCTAATAAAGTAGGTTAGCAACTTGTAAGCCAACCTTGGTTTCCATCGTGCATTGTTGCTAATCCTGATTATTGTGTATTTTGCAATTAAATGCAAATTGCTCTCAATTAATTGCTTGAATTAATTAATTCTATTTGAATAAATAGTTATTTACATTGTTTTAAATTTTTAGTTTTATTTTAATTGGCCTATTGTAGGCCTGGCGCCCAATCAAAACAACATCAAATAAAGATAACCCACGCCCATTGCCTCCTAAACCTTTGTCTGAGCAGCTGTAGGGCAACCCAAAGAAGTGATATAACTTTCATCATTTCAGGACTTGATGCCATTGATGCGAATGTTGCCAAGTTATTCCTAGTTGTGATACTTTAATTTCCAGGCGGATAACGGTGACGAACTGACGTTACCTTTCAAGTCGGTCACATTTAGGGGTCGAAACATCGTTGTGACAACGTTTTACTGCGACTGTGGCTGAAAAGTTCTAATAGGACTACATCACTGTCTAAATATTATGACGTTGGAATATAGGTGCAAATAACGTTGTATTATAACACGGAAAAATATAATTTGGGTCGATTCTGGGATAAAATTCACTTGGGCTTGGAGATATCAACCTAAACGCCGAGACAACAAGAACGCGAAAAAAATTGACCAAGGGAAATTGCATGAGAAAAATGTAATGTCTAAAAATATACACTGTGACAAATTTTTCAAAACTAAATAAACTACATGTTTGCAGTAAATTTGAGTTACAACATCAAAGATGAAATAATTCAAAAAAAAACTAACTCAATTATACTCGCCCATCGTTTGAAAGTTGGGGAGGATTAAAATCTAAAATATATATTTTAAACGCAGGTTCGCATCAAAAGACCTCATTCAAATTATAAACCAAAATTACAAGTTATTTTTACAAAGAGAACGAAGCGAAACGAATTTAAAACAGTTTGGTTAAGCATCCCCCTTTTCTCGGTCGGTTCGGTGATGAATGACAATTCAATGGTCTATTACAAAAGGGGTGGTTTTTCCATTGTGAATATGCCCATTAAATGCACGACAATGATGACGATGATGACGGGGTTTTGAGAATATGTACATGTGGATACAGTTTGAGGGTTTGTGTTATTTTGTTCTGTAATTACTTGGTGGTGTGATATAACCATCCAGATATATTTTAATAGACTGAAAAATTGTCAATGCCAAATAAAGAATTTATTGATTTTTGTCATTGTGTTGCACGGGTTAGCTTTTTTATACTTGTGATTGTTTCTGTGAAATGTGAAATCCACATGTCTGCGGAAACGACAACGTCTCATTCAAAACACAAAGAAAGCACGCCTTTTGTATATTTTTATAACTTTCATAGAAGCTAAATTTATAAAATCTCAAGTCAACTAATTAGGGGTATCGAAGCTCACGATAGAGTGAATAATCCCCAGATTATTTTACCCGAACCATAAACACCAGGGTTGTTGAAAAGCTGAAAACTGAAAGATTATACTAACAAAACGGCACGTGCCCATAGTAAAAAGCTCTCAGCGCCACGTGCACGCGGAATACAAAATAACATTTTCGAGGAGTTGCTTTTTTTATTAATCAAAAAGGTGCCCTTATTAAAAGGACTCTTGAATTTTCGTATAACGTTACGTTGTTACGGTACAAACGTAAATGGGATCACGTGACTTTGATAATAGACGCTGTCTTGTCTGTACTTGGATGATGCCAAAATTAATTAAAACATGTTACACACACACAGAAAAGAAATTCCGCCAACGTCGTCATTATTAAAAAAGGCCCCCTAATCGTGAGAAAAGAATCCCGGAGCAGAAGACCAATCCACAAATTTTGTATTACTTATGCATTCAAAAAAGACGAGAAATCGTCCAAAAATTACACATTGTCCCTGATTACTTTTGGATGCTTTTTAACTATGTCGAAACACGCGAAAGAAATATTTGAAAAATCCTCTCACATGATGGTCAGATGGTCACTAGGGCGTCTGCTTCGAGGAATAATGGAGAGAAGGCAAAACCTATTTATTTTATTTATGTTATGATGAGCTTCTGGACTTTTTTTTATAATATAAGCTGCTGTTTCAAGCCCAAATTTTCTGAGGCGAGTGCCATGAGCAAGTATAAACCCTGTAAGTATATCGCCTACACCCAATTTGAACAACTTCAAATTGAGATTGTTACTTAATTTCCTACAATTTATGGAGTTGAAGTCAGAAACATCCAATATTGTTTTGGTTAGTGTTCTAGAGGGTAGGTAGTTATTGCCATCAGAAACTCCTTACTAAAAAATTACAGGGAGATATCGAACGCACATAGGTGGAGAAAGAACCATGAGTTGCTATTTGTTTCAAAGCCCTTTGTAATAAAAATGCAAACTTTTGCAAGATGTACGTTTTATTAGAAGCTAATAAGAGTTTGGTAATAGTATACACTAGATTGTACGCCACTGTAAAGCGTTGGTGGACTCAAATCGACTCCACAAACCGAAATATAATAATATGAGATTGACTATTCACCGCGGTCCACCGAAGTGAAGAGTTGAAAATTAACACCGTTAAATTGGGTTGTATGAAAATATTTTAATGAGTTTCTATGAGTTTTTTTAATTTTTGCTCTTCTCATGTTTGATGACCACCATCAACAAGATTGAACACCTACTCGAGTACCTAGAAAAACATTTTTGTGCTTTAATTGACTCATGATCTAACCAACGTGACGTTTGAGTCAAACTGGAGTTTTTCAGTGAGTTCTGTGGGTTCTTGAATATCTTTGGTTCTGATGGAAGCCGTGCTATTTTATTTATTTTTTTCATCTATAGAATCTTCTCAATAAAATTTCATTAATAAAAGGATTGTTATTGCTCTAAATTAGACTTCAAATAGAGCAAACTATTAGTTCAATTAGAAACATTGCGTTCTAAAGGAAGATCAATTTAAATTTCCGAACCTTTTTGTTTTTATTTATTGCATAATATGGAACTAGTATTTCCTTGATACATAAACCAAAAGTTTTGAAAGATTATTAAAAATTTAATCCGAAAAATTGCTTGACTCGAGATTTCAGAGAGTTCGAAAGTTACACAGGTTGGCTATCCAATATAGTTCGCCCCGTCTCGCTCATAAATTTTTAATTACGTTTTTGTTTCGGTATAAAACCCGTAAAATAAAACAATAATTTTCCCTCTTCAAAAAAATTATTAAAAGAAATTAGTTCGCACTAATTCATTCAGCAATCTGTCATGTGCGCCGGACTAATTTAAATGCCAAAGGATGAATTATACGCGCCGGCCGCCAGGTAGATATAGAAGAAGAAGAAGACCAAGAAAAGAAAATGGACTTGGAGCTTTATTTTAGGCTTTTGGATGGATGCGGTGAGGAAGCCAGAGGCGCAGCATGAGCTTTTGCCACTGGGCGTTTGATCATATGGGGCCTTATTCTGTAAAGAACGAACCGTTCGATTCGGTAGAATTTCTTCGATTGTGACGTCATTTTCGGCATTTTCGGAATAGCTTCCGCGCTAACAAACCGAAAATGACGTCACAATCGAAGAAATTCTACCGAATCGAAAGGGTTGTTCTTTACAGAATAAGGCCCATGGTCAGGGGCATATTTGGAAACCTTTAAATGTGGTATTAAGAGGAAGGGAAAGAGATCATCATATTGTAATTATAATAAATTGACAGAAATTTCTTCTGTTTTTTCGAAGAACTTGTGCGGGGGAAAATTTGGAAAAGAGGAAGGAATTAGGGAAGGGGCTCATCGTCCTGGACACTCCTGGCTGAACATCATGCTCGACCACACAAGGCTGAAGTGGAGATCTGCTCAGTTGTATGATTTGGGAAGTCTTACAACGTCTCAACGTCCACTTTACAGTCCCGACTTGTCCCTGTGCGAATTCTGGGTTTGCCTTTGCTTTCAGCCTCTACTAAACGTTTCTCTTCTGAACAATCTCTATAACTGTTCCTCTTCTTTTCATGCCGTCTTCTCATTGAAAGTGGGCGACCACGTTTTTGAATGTCTGTCTCTTGCAATATGAAACAGTTTTTCGACGCTGAGATTTGTTCGTTTCCTTACACTTCGGAGTCAGGATTTTTTCCTCTTGCCGATGCCTTTCTTTCCCTCCACTCTACCCTGCATTATGTTTCATGGCATAACGTATTTATGGTTGCGTTAGATGTGTTCTCTGTAAGATGTTTTTCTTATCTTAATGAGTGTTAACAGCTTTCTTTTGTGACCAATGCGTCTTAGTTCTTCGTCGTTGGTGATTCTGTCAGACCATGGTATTTTCAGGATGCGTCTATAGAACCACATCTCAAATGCCGAAATTTCTCAAGTTTTTTAATCATTTGAGCTATTAAGGTCCCAGCTTCTACATTGTACAACAATACTGGACCACACATAGCGTTCTATAAATCTTATTCTGATGTGGAGGATAAGATTTCTGTTTCTGAGCATTGAGGAGTATTTGACAAATGCCTTTCAAGCCATTTCTATTCTGAGCTTGATTTTTTCGTCTGGATCCATTTAAGCATTTATAACTGAACCAGGATTTAGGATATTGGTTGTATACTGCTTGAGCAACTGTCACACTTTGAAAGCTTGTAAATCTCCTCACGTTTGCCATAAGTGTAAATAAAAACATCATACATTGTTACACTTTGGAAGACAATCTCCGCTACCGGTTTCTGTGACTCAGTTGCCGCCAAATCAGGATCAATCCTCAACAGTTGAGCCCCTCTTAAAAATTCTCAAAAATTGGCTACCAGTGGTATCTTAGCTAACGCAGTCGACGTTTTTACTGTCGACTGCGGTGGTAGAAGTTTTAAATGGTACTGGTTATTTTCAAAAGGTTAGAATATTGTTAGATTCCGGCTCTCAACTGCATTTTATTTCTCAGAACTGTCTCAGACGTTTAGGCCTTCCGTCCTATAGTACCCCTTTCTCAGTTCAAGGCTTAGCACAATCCACAATTCCTAATTATTCAAAGTGCATTTCTACTAAAATGCGGCAATTTAACCGATCCGCGCCTTATTTTGATATGGAAGCTGTAGTTCTTCCCCAGATTTGTGGAAACTTACCTTATGTAGAATTTCCTTCATGAAAGTGGTCACATTTAAACCCCCCTCTGCTCCTCATTTTGGAGGACCGTGGGAGGCAGGGGTGAAGTCGCTCAAGACCCATCTATCTCGCGAGATAGGAAATCAACATCTTACTTACGAAGAATTGAATACGGTATTTGTTCAGATAGAAGCGTTTCTAAATTCACGACGTCTTACCCCCATTAGTAATGACCCCAATGATCTAACAGCTCTTACGCCGGCGCATTTTTTAACATTAGAACTTCTGGCTGCTCCCCCTGTATCTGACATAACTTCAATTCTTGTTGGTCGTTTGGATCGCTCGCAAATGCTATCCAGAATGCATCAGGATTTTTGGCGTCTAAGGAGTATTTGCATACCCTCCACCAGCGATCCAGGTGAAATAAATATGCCGTCAATATACAGCTGGAAGTTTTGGTGTTAATAAAAACGATCGGCCGAGCCGTTCTCGAATTCAAAAAATAAGAAAGTTACGTCGGTTGAATGGCAAGCCTAAATAAATGAAATGTGGCAACGTTGTTTCATGCTGTCAAAAAAAAGTTTGGTTATGTTGTTGTGTAATGTGAATAAGTTAGTTTACAATTAAATTAATAATTGATTCAAAATTAATTTCTTTTTCGGAGATGCGTAACCTATCCAGAAACCTTCCTGGGATGACCATAACAACCTACCAAAGTTTCATCGTTATCAGATATAAGTGGTGTAGGAGCGCATAAGGCAAAAACCCAGCAAGCAAGTAAGCAAACAAACATTGATTTTCATATATAAAGATTAGTTATTCTTTTTTTGGTTTGCTGTGTATGCATAATCTTCTAAGTACATAAGTAGATACCTATACTTTTTTGAGGCCCCCTAGGGTAAGTGCGCGTGTCCGAAATTCCTAAAATATTTTCGTCGCCTACCTTCGATATTAACAATCAATCAACGAGAAAAGCGTACATGGTAGTTAAATCTAGCCGACCGCCTACCAACCTCAAGTGTTCTACGTAACTAAGTGCAAACTTTAAGTTTCACCCTAACTTTAGAAACTATTTCTTATAAAAAATCCCGTGCTACGCTGCGCGAGTGATTCTTTTGCCTAATCCAGATAATCCTGTTCGGTCTCCAAAGAACTTGATGAACGATTGAATAACAATTCAGGTAAGGTCTCAAAATATTTCTTTTTTTTTATGCAACGCAGTATTACAGTCCAGTTTTCTCTCCACGAGCCTCAAAGAATTGAAATTCAATAACGCACATTTTGGCACCCGTTCTATTTGTTTTCTATTCAATGTAAGAAAAGGTTTAATGTTTGGGGTTTTTATACTTATTACCATGAATTTAGTTATTTCGGTGTTTATAGTGAGTCCTACTTCTTCACACTCTCGGTTGACTCTCTCCTATAGGGTTTGAAGATCTTCTGCATTCTCAGCCATTATAGCAGTATCATCGGCGAATCTTAAGTTGTTTGAAAATGTTCCTCCAATGGTTACTCCCTCGCATCTCTCTTCCAGCTTAAAGAGACAGGAAAAGTTGCCTGTTTGTTTGGCTCCAACATTGATTCACATTATTGTTGGTGATCCTTCAGTGTTTTGCCTTGGTTAAAACTACTTTTGTTTTTGGTTTGAAACTTGTAGCTTTATTAGGTAATGGAATATAGAATGAAATTGAACTACAGCAAAAGTAAGACTTATTTTAGAGAGAGTTTTAACAAAATGTGTTACTACGACTGAAGCTGTCTTAAGTCTGTCTTCTTGCTTCACTAGATCTCTTACAAATCGACCTTTACATCCCTTCTAAAACGTTTCTAAAACCTACATAATTACAACTGGAAAACCCTAAATAAATATTGGCAATAAATGACAGTCTGTTCGCCCAAAGAATTACCATTAAGGATATTTGGGAATTTTGGGGTTTATGGTGGACAAATGTTTAATTTATTTACATACAATATCTTTGGGTTCTTTAACAGAAAGTCTGGGTCATATAATAATATTGCTTTCGGCGACGGCGAGACATTATTTGGGAAAGTATTCGAGGGTCGTAAAAGGTACAATGTCATGATATTATGGAGGAATATGACACTTCCCCCCTTGAAAAAAAAAAGAAATTTTCATAAAGAAATTTCTTCAAAACAAATCCTTTAAGAAATACAATTATAAAAAACTAACGTAAAATAATATGAAGCTTAACTTAATATAAAGGTAGGAATAAAAAGGAAAGAGAGAAAAAAAAAATGTAAACTAACTTATACCTAAGAATATACAAACATATCTTTTACTAAGACATTTTTATGGACGGTCTTGGGGTGACTGATCTTCGCATGGACATGGAATTCGTAGTGGATGTGGTTGCTTCATTGGAACTTAGAAGGTTATTTAGTTCAATCCCTTCGCCCATTTTTGTTCTGGCTTCTTCTTCAATTCTTCATCCAGCAATTGGTCCAGTTGTCCAAGTTTGTGATTCGCAAACTGTAAATCGTCCAATTTGATATTGGAAAGTCTTATTGGTTGTAGTGTGATTGGTGTGTTGTTGAATCTGGCTTCTTTGGCATAGCAGCAATAGTCAAGTGCAATATTGATATCTGAAATTTGTTTTGAAATATTCCGTGTAATGATTCCTGAGCTTTCCAAGATAATATTTTGAGTATAGCCTCTGCATTTGGGTTCCAAACTTAACAGCCCTGTTGATGCAATTTTTATATCTTCGATTGGAAAATTATCACAAGCCAGAGTAAGCTGTAAGGGCGTCGATAGTACGAAAAGCCAAGAGTTGTCGCTCAGTGGATGCCATATCTCGAAGTCTGCTTTGGAAGTAACGGTATGACAGTCAGCCGGGAAAATGGTAGAAAATGATGTAAACAATGCGACTTCGCACTTAGGAGGTTCTTGAATCCTTGTAGCTCGAGTGTTTTGGCAGATGAATTCCTCTTCTGTGATCCTTGTACACTTGGTAAGGTCTTTCATTTGCACATAACTAACCTTACTAATACTTATCAGCAGGTAAGGAAAATCAGATAGGATATAGGAATGAATATCAGAAAAATTATGAGGTGTTGGAAGTGGCAATAATTTGAACAGATTGTAGGTCATTTCGTCAGTCAATGGAATTTCAATTGCAAAAATAATTATGTTATCAGAATGAAAAACTTTTAGTTTACTGATCTCAAAATATTTGTAAATAGTTGAATAAGATATTGGGAACGGTAATTGAAGTCCGTTGTTCAATTTTATTTCCGAAAGTACATTTAATAATTGTTTTGGTGTTATAACTTTCGGATGTAGGATATTATGTCTGGCCATTGTTATAGCTGAGATTAATAAATCATATTCTTCGTTCAGATCTTCTAATATTTGTGTGAGTAAGGCAATATGTGAACTGATGATAAGTTTCAGTTTGTTTACGTGAATACGTTTATTGGTATCTGCTGAGAAGGAGTTGAAAATTTTAATATTAGAGTTTAGAGTTTCTTGATTAGATTTAAAATTTCGTATACTAGAATTAAAATTAGATATCGTACTAGAAATTATGCCAATTTGTTGTTTCATCAAAAGTTGTGTATTTCTATTACTTTGAATTAGAGTTTTTATCGATTTGTCATAAAATTTAGCATCATCGGCATCAGGCATGCCAAATAGCCAATTGAATGCGTAAGAAGCACCATCAAAAATTCCTCTTTTAGTCTTTTTCGTATTAGTACCGATTATTTCGCTGACAACTTCAGATTTTCCGAGCAATTTATTAAACCGAGATTGGACGACTTTTATAGTATCTTTGCATAGAAAATTTTCAGATTCAACAATTTCATTACTATAACATAGATCGAATGACTTTTTCAATATTCCAGAAATAAATTTTATTTTCTTTTCATATCCAGTTACATTAAGATGAGTAAATAGGACAAATTTAGA